CGTGGTCGTCCTTCCTCCTCCTCCCTCGTCGTCGTCGTCGTCGTCGTCGTCGTCGTCGTCGTCGTTGTCGTCGTCTTCCCTCCTCCCTCGTCGTTGTCGTCGTCGGCATCGCCGTCCTTCCTCCTTCTTCGTTGTTCGCGTCGTCGCCGTCCTCCCTCTTCCCTCGTCGTTGTCGTCGTTCTTGTCGTTGTCGCCGTCGTCGTCCTCCCTCCTCCCTCGTCGTCGTCTTCGTTGGCGACGTCGTCGTCTTCGTCATCGTCGTCGGCGTCGGCGTCGTCGTCGCCTTCGTCGACGTCGACGTCGGCGTCGTCGTCGTCGCCGTCGTCGTCGTCGTCGTCGCCGGCGTCATTGACGTCGTCGTCGTCGTCGGTGTCGTCGTTGTAGTCGTTGTCGGAGTCGTCATCGTCGTCGTCGTTGTCATCGTCGTCGTCGTCGTCGGCGTCGGCGTCGTCGTCGTCGTCGGTGTCGTCGTCGTCGTCGTCGTCGTTGTCGGCGTCGTCGAAGTCGTTGGAGACGTCGTCGGTGTCGTCGTAGTCGTTGTCGGCGGCGTCGTCGTTGTCGTTGTCGCTGTTGTAGTCGGCGTGGGTGTCGCTGCCAAGTGCCATTTGGTACCAACCGTCACGGTCTTAAGAGATTTTGCCAACCAAGTTGCGGGTGGGTGGGTGGGATGTTTGCAAGAGCAGTGGAGTGGACATTTCACTGCGAACAGAAATTAATTGCACACCATAGATTGTCCTTTCTTCGAAGAGAATCCCCCTGGGATTATCTGCACCCCTTTTCGTATTGCAGTTTGCATATGATCTTGTCCCATCGCCCATCCTAAATATGAATCGTACCATCCCAGCCAGGCCGGTATCGACGCCCCCCGCCATCCTGTGCAACAAATAGCATGCGCGCGCACTCGTTTATCCAACATCACGAGTTTCAAGAACCCCTTGCCAACAATACCACGTAGTGCACGCGCGGATCGTCGCCCGCGCTTGCCGGAATCTTTCGGAAGCTTTGAGGTGTAGTCAGGATGTCAAAATTGAATGCCCCAAAGACGTATAAGCACATGGTTTCGCAGCGCGGATATTAAACAAATGCGCCCGCGCTCTCGCAGGTTCTTGAGAACGCCATAGAGTTTTCAACATTGCCAACAGTGTCACAACAGTTGACTACATGGGCTTCGCGCGCGCGTGTCGAAATCGTTCGAGCGCCTTTGCTCGCGCGCAGTCGCAGTAATCCCTTGCAGCAGAAAAAAAAAGAAGGCCGAAGTGCACGCGCGCGCACGCCGTCGCGTGCCGAATTTCGTCAAAAACCACAGCAGGTTTCGCCAGGAACATGAAAACACATGGTTTCGCAACATAAGTGTTCAAACAAGCCTGCGCCCTTGCCCTCGCGAGATCTTGAGAAAACCATCGGCTTTTTCAACGTGTTTCATGCGATTCGACCAAACGGGCTTCTCGCGCCGCGCACCGACATCATTCAAACGCCCTTGCGCGCGCGCAGGGAGGGGGGGGGCGCGATCCGTGTCAAATAATACGATGAGGGCCACTCTCGGGCGTCGGCCGCGCGCGCGTGTCGAACTCCTTCCAAAACCTTCACCGCCGACGCGAGGGCGCCGTCATTGTCGTCGGCGCGATCAGCATCGGCGCCGTCGCTGGCCGCGCAGTCACCGCTGTCGTCATCGCCGCCAGCACCGCCACTATCATCACCGTGTCTGCCGTTGTCGACGTTGCCATGATACCGCGCCCGCCCAAGCCGCCGTCTTGCAGCGAAGTGCCCGCCAGGATGTGCCCGGCGGTCACCGCCGCCGCGGCTGCGTCGGTCGCGCCACAGTAGCTGGCCGCCGCGCGCGCGAGCACGCGCGGGCCTGCGCGGCCGCGGAGATGCACCAGCCAACGTCAGGCATGCATCGCAGTCGCCGCCGCGATGGTTTTGCAAACCACATTGCGGGTGGGCGGGCGGGGCGTCTGCGCGAGCAGTGGAGTTGACAACTCAGTGCAAACAACATTAATTCTCCTTTCTAAAAGAAGAATATACTCTACCCACCCAGACTTAACGGTTCTTTTTTCCGTATGGCAATTTTACATATGATTCTGCCCCATCGTCCACCCTACATATGAATCCATACTATCCCAGCCAGGCTGGCATCCCCGCCCCCGATTTCCTTTGCAACAAATACTATGCGCGCGCTCGCGTTTATCAAAAATCATAAGTTTTCAAGAATCCCTAGCCGAAAATGGGACGAAGTGCGCACGCACGCGTCGTCGCGCGCGCATGCCGAAATCATTCAAGAACCTTCGATTTCGGAAGGATTTCAAAATCGAGTTTCCAACATGACATACAAAAACATTTGGTTTCGCAACACGGATTTCCTAAAAAGGTTTACGCGCGCTCTTTTGCGAAATCTTAAGAAAGCCATAGGTTTTTCAATATTTACAGAAAACTGCTGTCAAACGGGTTTCGCACGCGCATGTCGAAATCTGTCGAACGCCCTTGCGCGCGTGCCGTCGCGAGAATCCTCTGCCAAAAAACGGGACGAAGTGCAGACGCGCGCGTCGTCGCGCGCGCATGCCGAAATCCTTCAAAAACTTTCGGTTCCGGAGGGATTTCAAAATCGTGTATCCAAAAAACATTCAAAAACAGAAGGTTTCGCAACATGGATTTTCAACAAAAGCGTGCGCGCGCGCTCTTGCGTCGTCGTCGTCGTCGCCGTCCTCCCTCCTCCCTCGTCGTCGTCGTCGTCGTCGTCCTCTGTCTTTCCTTGTCGTCGTCGTCGTCTCGGCGTCGTCGTCGTTTCCGTCGTCGTCGTCGCCGTGGTCGTCCTTCCTCCCTCGTCGTCTTCGTCGGCGTTTCGTCGTTGCCCCTCCTATTTCGTCGCCGTCGTCGTCGTCGTCGTCGTCGTCGTCGTCGTCTTCCCTCCTCTTTCGTCGTTGTCGTCGTCGCCGTCGTCGTCCTCCCTCCTCCTTCGTCGTCGTCTTCGTTGGTTTTCGCCGTCGTCGTCGTCGTCGTCGTCGTCGTCGTCGTCGTCTGCAGCGTCGTCGTCGTCGTCGGCGTTTTCATCGTCGTCGTCGTAGTCGTCGTCGAAGTCGTTGGATCGGTCGTCGGTGTCGTCGTAGTCGTTGTCGGCGGCGTCGTCGTCGTCGTTGTCGCTGTCGTCGTCGGCGTGGGTGTCGATGCCAAGTGCCATTTGGTACCCACCGTCACGGTCTTAAGAGGTATTGCGACCAAGTTGCGGGTGGATGGGTGGGAGGATTGCGCGCGCAGTGAGTTGACAATTTCAAGTTCGGCAGGGTGCATTGCACACAATAGATTTCCCAACAGCATATATATATATATATATATATATATATATATATATATATATATATACATACATACATACATACATACATACATACATACATACATATATATATATATATATTACCCCCCACCCCGCCCCAGGATTATTGGTAACCCTCTTCATACTGCAATGTGATATAATTCTGCCCCATCGCCCATCCTGAATATGAAGTCGTGCCATCCCAGCCAGGCCGGTATCGACGACCCCCGCCGTCCGTTGCAACAGATAAAATGTGCGCGCTCGTGTATCTCAGGAGTCCCTTGCCAAAGATACTACGAAGTGCACGCGCCTGTCGTCGCGCGCGCATGCCAAAATCTTTCAACAACCTTAGGTGTCGTGAGGATGTCAAAGTCGCATGTCCAAAAGACATCTAGAATTACATGGTTTCGCAGCGCTGACTTTTTCTGCAAAGAAGAATGCGACCGCGGTCTTGCAGATTCTCAAGAAAACGATAAATTGTTCAACATTTCCAAAACATAATACCAAACTGGCTTCGCGTGCGCTAGAAATCTGTAGAACGCCTGTGCGCGCGTGCTGTCACAAGAGCCCGTTGCAACAAATTAGACGAAGTGCGCGCGCGCGCGTCGTCGCGCGCGCGTGCCGAATTCCTTCGAAACCGTTGGATTCGCAGGATTTTCGCAATCGAGCGCCCGACAACAAATTTCAAAAAAAACATGGTTTCGTAACATCAGTGTCAAAAAAAAAACGCACTTGCACTCCGAGTTCGTAAGAAATCCATAGTTGTTCCACGTGGTGCATGGCATTATGCCAAGCGGGCCTGTCGCGCCGCATGCCGACATCATTCGAACGCCCTTGCGCGTGTGCTGGGGGGACGCGGTCCGTGTCAAATAATGCCATGCGGGCCGCTCTCGCGCGTCGGCCGCGCGCGCATGTCGAACTCCTTTTTCAAATCTTCATCGCCGACGCGAGGGCGCCGTCATCGTCGTCTGCGCGATCAGCCTCGGCGACGTCACTGTCCGCGCCGTCGCCGCTGTCGTCGTCGTCGCCGGCACTGCCACGATCATCGTCGCGTCTACCGTTGTCGACGTTGCCACGATGCCGCGCCCGCCCAAGTCGCCGACTTGCACTGAAGTGCCCGCTTGGATGTGCCCGGCCGTCAGCGCCACCGCGGTTGCGTCGGTCGCGCCAGAGTGACTGGCCGCCGCGCGCGCGAGCATGCGCGGGTTGTCGCGGCCGCAGAGATGCACCAGCCAACGCCAAGCACTCATCGCAATCGCCGCCGCATGGGTTTCGCTGACTAGGTTGATGGTGGGTGGGCGGGGTGATTGTGCGAGCAGTGGAGTTGACCACGCACTGCGAACAGAAAGTCGTTTTCATTTTTACAAAGAGTAGATTCTACCCCCCACGGGATTGTGGACCCCCTTATTAGTATTGTAATTTTCGTATGATTATGCCTCACCGCCCATCTTAATTATGAGTCCATACCATCCCAGCCCTCCTCAGAGATCACGTGCGCTGCAGCCTGCCTTGCGCGGGAACTCGCGGCGGAAGGAAGAGGGTATGGAGCGGGATCGGAGTGAATTGCGATGCGATGCGATGGGATGGGAGGGGAAGGGATGAGAGGGGAGGCGAGAGATGAAGACCAAAGGAGAGAACGAGGATGAAGAGAGCTCAGATAGCGGAGGCGTGGCTGGTACCCCCGAGCCAGGTCAGCTCGGACAGCTTCCAGGCATTCTACGACATGTCACTTGTCGAGGCGCAGGATCGGCCACCAGGTTCCTTGCACAGTTGCTTCCCAGGCGGCGCGAGGTGAGCGGCGTTGGCAGCGTCTGTTTGTGCCAAGGCTGCGAGTGGCAATGGCCAGTCTTGCCGCTACTACGCATTCGACCTCGGACCGTCCTTCTGTGGACTCCAGGCCCGCCGCGCGACGTTCGTAAGCGGCCCTAGGCTGCCGACAAGGTGCGCAGAGCTCGGAGAGGACCCGGGCACGGCATTGCAGTAGATCGTGCCGAGTGCAAGACGAGCACGGTGCATTTGGGTTGCAGTTGCAGCTGAGGGAGCGCAAGGACGAGGACCAGAAAGAGAGAGAGAGAGAGAGAATGCGGAGGGCCGGGAAAGCTAGAGGAGGAGGAGGAGGAGGAGCAGGAGCAGGAGCAGGAGCAGGAGCAGGAGCAGGAGCAGGAAAATGACCTGGAGGGGTAGGAGGAGGAGGAGGAGGAGGAGGAGAAGGAGGAGGAGGAGGAGGAGGAGGAGGAGGAAGAGGTGGAGGAGGAGCAGGAGGAGGAGGACGAGGAGGCGGAGGAGGGGGAGGATCTAGAGGAGGAGGAGGAGGAGGAGGAGGAGGACGAGGAGGACGAGGAGGACGAGGACGAGGAGGAGAAGGAGGAGGAGGAGGAGGAGGAGGAGGAGGACGAGGAGGATTTTTGCTGACATCCACCGCCACAAACCTCCTTACAGGGGGCAAAAAGAGGAGGTGTCGACTGTGATTCCAGCCCTCTTGGGCTTGGGGTGGAAACCCTTGTCGAGCAGCCCCTGTGTAGAATACCACGGCGGGATTGCCCCTGCAGCTCGATGTGCTGGTTCTGGGGGTGGGGAGACTGGGGTCGGTGGCGTGCGTGCCCTTGTCCTGCAGGGCAGGCTCCCCAGCCAACACCAGGTTTGTCTTACAGTCGGACCGTCAAGCAGGGTATTTTCGAGGTCGACAGGTCGCCGCCCCCTGCGTACACCACTGCGGCCCAGGGGCCACAGGCCATCAGCCAAGTCGGCCCAGGGCCCAACGAGGCAGGCGCAGCAGACCGGCCCCAGATGCGCTTCGTTGCGCACCGGCGCAGTGGCGAGTCTTGGAGGCGGCAGCTGCCAGAACCCGGGAGGCGGCAGCCGCTGGATACCAGCAAGCCGCCTGCCGGCGGAGGAGGAGGAGGAGGAGGAGGAGGAGGAGGAGGAGGAGGAGGAGGAGGGCGCCCCCGCGACGGCCGCGGACATCCTCGATCGCCTGGGCAGCGAGGGCCTGGGCGACGAGGCGCTGGCGCCGGTGCCGGCCGCGCGGCGGCCTTCCCGGGGTGCCCCGACGGGCGGCGGCCCCTTCGGGCGCTGACCCGCTCCTGGTGGCGCCGGCCCGCCCAGTGGCAACGGCCCCCCCCCCAGCGGCGACGGCCACCCCGGTGCGACCTCCCTCTTCCTCCTCCTCCTCCCTCTCCTCCTCCTCCTCCTGCTCCTCCTCCTCCTCCTCCTCCTCCTCCTCCTCCTCCGTAGCCATTTTGGCTCAAGATGCAGGTTTCCCCTGGGAACCAAGCGGATACCGCTAGACCGCGGCTGGCAAGACTTCTTGAAGTCTGGCATCGTCCCCTGTCCACCTTCCTCGCGCTCGGGTCGGTGGGTAGACGGAGGCCTTTCCCGTTCCTGTCGGCCCGATCGCATCCAGCAGCAGAGCCATGCCTGGTGCAGGGAGCCCCGAGAAGCATCGCCTGGACTCGGAGGGCTCCCCCAGCTGCAGCGGCCGCTCGACTTCAAGGACGCGCTCTTCCAAGTCCCACTCGAGGGCGTCCGAGCGCCGCAAGGCGCCCCCAGCGGACCGTGGACGGCTGGTGCGCCCTGGTGCTGCTGCGCCTCCTGCTGGCCACGCTGGTCCTCCTGGCCGTCGGGGAAAGGGCGACAGGAAGACCTCCAACGAGGAGAGATGGCGCCAGCGGGCAGCTTATGCGGCCCTCGAGATGCAGAGAGACGGTATTGACCTCGACATGCTGGCCACGTTCCCCTCGCAGGGCGCTGGTGAGGCTGGAGTCGGGGAAACTGCCGCCAAGGACGCTGGCGCTGGAGCCAGGGACGCTACCTGCCCTGACGCTGGCGTCGGTGGTGGCCCGTGGAGGACCTACCTGGGCAACGGCGGGGCCCCCTCGGGCCACGCGGCGGCACTGGGACCCAGCCGTGGCCACCCTCCCGCCCATGCTGCTCCTCAGCGTGACCTGCGGCATGGGGCAGCCCCTGCGGCCTCTCCTGCGGCGACGGCGTCTGGCGATGCTGGCGGCGCTGCGGATGCTGTCATGCCCAACTCCGCCCAGGCCGCCCTCCTCCAGCAAGTGCAGGCCGCCATCACCTCCGCTGTCACGTCCGCGGTCGTCGCCAGCGTCGACGCCACCCTCACGGCGGGCCTGGCGCAGATACAGGGAGTCATGGAATCGCGTGTCGGCGTCGTCGAAGGGCGCCTTCATGGGGTTGAGCAGAAGCAGATCGACATCGAGAGGCAGCTGCGGGCGGACATCGCGCAGCTCCGCGAGCAGATGGGCATCATGGCGAGAGTGGAGCCCTGTGCTGCCCCTGCTGGCCCTGACTGGGATCGTCCTCCAGACCTATCTGCGGTGGTTGTACGGTGCAAGGAGGAGCTCCCCGCGGCGACCTTCAAGCAGGTCATCGACCCCCTCCTCGTGGACGCTGGCATGGGTCCTGACTCGTTCGTGGTGGAGGCGGAGCCCCTCGGCAAGCGCTGCGTCTTCCGCTTCAAGGGCCCCCCCGAGCTCGGGGCCAGACGGGCTGCTAAGGTGCTTGGGTGTATGCGCCTTGGCCGTGGTGAGTGGCGCAAGCCGCGCGCCACGACGCCTGCTGGCCACGATGTGGACGTCTTCGTGGCGCCCGACCAGAACCGCAAGCAGGTCGTGCACGAGCTCACACTCAAGAAGCTCGCCATCGCGCTGGGGCGTGTCATCGGCGACGGGCACCGCATCTTCATCGATAAACAGAAGTTCTTCCTCCCGTCCCAGTGGAAGGCCTTCCTCCGCCTCACCATCGACGGCCCCAACTCCACCCCAGCGGTGGCCTGGTCCCCGTCTGCGCTCACGGCACTCGGGCTGCGACGTGAGGACCTGGCACCGACAGTCGAGGCGGCTTTGGCTCCTGGTGATGATGATTGGTGTTTGTAGCACGTTCGTCAAGCTCTTTGCCGCCACGATGAGCAAGGAGCTCACCTTCGCCACCTGGAATACAAGAGCATTCTGTCACCACAAGGCGAACGTGGCGGCACGCAAGAGCAACTACCTAGGGAATGCACTCCGAGCAGGGGCTATCGTTGGTATGCAGGAGGTCCACGGGTCGGCCGTGCGCTTGCGTATGTTGTGGATCGCTTGGGGACGGACTACCAGATGTTCTATTCCTTCGGTGGCAAAGTGCTGACGAGTCCCTCGGAAGCGTTGCCACCATCTTCCCCTTCAAGATGCACGCGGGCCTGGACCTGCGCAAGACGTACTCCATCAAGGCTCGGGTGATCCGCGTCACGGCCACGATCACGGACTGACCATGCACTGGCTACACTCTGAAGCACTGGGGCATTCATGACCACGACCTCTCCCGCGAACAGGTTCGGCGTGTCACTGGCGAGATCCAGGCCGACCTACGTGACATGGAAGTGGATCCGAGGAGGCGATGTGTTGTGATCGTGGGCGACTTCAATTACGGCGAGAATGCTGAGGTGGAGGGCCCTCTGGTCCCTGGAGGCGGGCGCAGGGCCGCCTCGCACCCCCGCGGCCGCGCATGGGCTCACTCGCTCAGTGCTGCGACGGAGATGGTCCCTCACAAGCCGACGCACTGGCACCCAGGCAGACAGATCGCCACCTCGATCGACAAGATATGGGTTGGTTCTCCACGTTGGTTACTCACGCAGACCTTTCAGCATGGGCAGGTATGTGGGGAGCCCCACGAGATGCACCTCGACGGGCTTTCGGACCACGCGATGTTCTCGGTAGCATGGACTCCTCGCCAACCACGGGCGTCATCAACCCTGTCCCGTCCTTCGTCTCGGAGAATCCGCTGTTCGGCGAGATGATCGGGAAGTGCGAGGACGCGGTCCCCCTGGATGGTCTCTCTCCTCCCGATCGGGTGCGCTACCACACGGAGATCCTTCAGACGGCAGCGGCCGCCACCCGTGATGCCATTTTTCGTGGTGAGCCTGGTCTGCGGTCGCCGACGGCGCTGATCTGGAGACAACTTGGTCGAGCGATATCGCGTCAGGACACTCGGATGGCGGAGACCCTCCTGCGACAGCATGCATGGACAAGCCAGATGATCGAGCTTCGCCATCACCCAGGTCATGGCAGAGACCAGGTGGTGCTCCTCGACCCTCAGGGATTCTCTCATCGTTACCGTCTGGCGCAACACCGTGAGATGCATGCACGACTCCGCCAGCATCAACATGACACAGACGGGGAACGGCTCGAGTCCAACAAGGCAGTGATGGTCAGGCAGCAGAGGGCCATACGTCGACGTGCGGCCATGTGGGCGCCGTCGTCGGCCCGACGTTTCCTGGGGGGCATCGAGCTGGACGATGGCGCGGTTGCGCGATCGGAGCAGGACATCCAGAGGGCGCTCGCGCATTACTGGCGAGGCGTCTTCGGCGACAACGTGGTCAAACGGAAGCAGTCCGCGGAGGAGATGATGCGCAACCTAGCCACCAACTCGAACGGCGCCCCCATGACCTTCCAGGACGGCATCATGGTACCCCTCCCCCGAGACGCTCCTCGTGCTGTTCAACGTCGACGGGAACTCCAGGATGGATATCTCCGCAGCTATGGCATCCAGGGAGCTGACTGGGCCTCGATCGGGCCCCCCTCGGCACACACCGTGGCATTGGCTCTCCGCAAGGCCCGCAAGTCGGCTCCTGGCCCTGACGGCCTCGGTGCTAAGGCCTGGCTCGCCACGCCGATGGGGGTCGAGACGCTGGCGGAAGCAATGGCGTGGCAGCTTGAGGGCCTCCCCATGCGCCAGGAGTGGAACTAC